GCTGATAACTCTTGTTGGGATTTCAGAACAGGAGGTGCACTGGGTTGTTAGCTCAGGCAGGAAGTTACAAAATTGTATTGTTGTTCATATACACCAATCAGATTGAAACATGCCTTGGAAATCTGACTTTAATTGGTAATACACCAAGCAGAGAGAGAGTTAAGCTGGCCATACACCTAGAGATTATCTGCAGATTTTCTATGGTCAGATGGAAAAAGTGCAACAGGTTCCACCATCTATGCTAAACTGTGTGGATGGAGGAATCTCTCACTAGGCCAAGCTTCAGTATCTTGCTAGATATATATAAGAGATACACTGATACCATTTTTGCAAGTACAAATACTGATACTTGTCCAAGTCCTCACAGACACAAGTACTACTAAATTTTTGTTTATTGTCATGTGACAGTTTTTCTAAAACAGTACAGACTGATGATTTCAGGACAGTGGTGGAGCGCCAGAGCCAGGTCCCAGCTGCAACCGCTGCAACCCTGGTCGTGAAAATACCACTTTTTCCTTCTGACCATAAAAAATCTGCAGAAAATCTATAGGTGTATGGCCAGCTTTACATAGCACTGACTTTATAAAGTAACACCTGTGAGGATCTTGGTGAAATAGGACTGCAGTAAATTACACCAGACTCAGATTATTGTGAATTCAATGGACTTTCTGAATGGTGCAAGTTGTAGCATTTGCTGGTTAGCATTAATAGTTCCCAGATCGATTCCACTTGTTGCCTGGAATTGTTCCTTAAAGAGACCCTGTCGCAAGACCATTCATTTCAACAAAAAAACCTTATCATAAAATGAATTGTGCATGTAGCATAGTTTATGCTTGTAATGTACCTGTAAAAAGCCTCTTGTTTAGACATCCAAATTTCCTGAGACTGGTGCTTGGCACCGCCATTTTGGATGTGATATCGGAAGCGTCAGCAGACTAATAGTTATATCAGAGCAAGGGACTCCAACCAGGGGATAATGCGGCTGGTTTACTAATGGATTTGAGAATGTTCACACTATTCAATGTGTGAAGATTCACTTCAGCTGTCTAAAAAAAAAAAAAAAACAGGGATTTTCTTTTCACATAATTGCATAATTGGAGTGAATCTTCACAGGTTTTATTGCGTGAACATTCTCACACCTTTATGTAAAACAGACTTGTTGTACCCAGAGTCAATAGGACATATATGAAAGTGGTGGTTGCTCTAGGCCAGTGGTGGCGAACCTTGGCACTCCAGCTGTGCCAAAACTACAAATCCCAACATGCATCTGACTCTGGGAGTTATGTCTGTGGCTGTCAGAGCCTTGCAATGCCTCATGGGAGTTGTAGTTCCAAAACAGCTGGGGTGCCAAGGTTTGCCACCACTGCTCTAGGCCATCTCATCTTAGATCCAGGTGATTGGTGTAAGTGTGGAAGGGACCATTAAAAACACCAAAGATTCATTATTGTATTCCTGGGCCTGTCCTAAAGAGATCCTGTGGTTAGGCACCCCTGTCCACCCCAGCCCCTATAGTAGACATGTGAGCTGCTATAGAGGTAGTTACTCCACTGATAAAGGATGGCCATCTTATATAATGCAATATGTTTTACTTCGAATAATATTTGGTAGTCAATGTAAGTATAATATATGGTAAAGCTATTGGTCTTAGAGGAGCTTGTTCTTAAAATTATTAAAATGAAAAAATATTTTTAGCTTTCTTAATCTGCTTTTCATAACAACTGATAGCTTGTACCTTATGAGGTGATCTGCACTGCTCCTCACATTGGCTGAATCCTCCTTTTAAGTTACACTAAACTCAGAAGTTAAATCATAAAAATACATTCCAGTACCCTAACTATTAACAGATATGTAGCTCATTTGTGTATCACTGGGCTGTAGATCCTCAAATCATCTCTGAATTGGTGCTGACACTGTCCTTCCTTCTGCAGGGTGGCTACTTTTGTTCTCCATGGTCCCTGTGTCTGCTGTAAAGTAGCCAACTAGCCACCACTCCAAGCTCACTCCCCTAGTGGACTACAATCTTATGTTTAGTTTACTTATTTGTATTGAAGTTATAGTATTATCATAGGAGCGAGCTTACATTATACAGATACATTTTTGTTAATCGTTAAGGTACTTAAATGCATTTTTAAGATTTAGCTCCTGAGTTTAGTGCCACTTAAAAGTAAATCTCCAGTCAGATATATAATACACAAAATAATACAGCTCTATATCCGTTAATACAATGCAGTGCAGGTGGTGTAAGTACCTGCATTTGTCTCAGTATCAGCCTGTTACATTCCCCTAATGCGTATTGTGGAACCTGGCCTTGGGGCGGCAGGGGGAGTAAATCCGGCCCTGCCTAAACGGCAGAGCTCAAACTGGGAGAAGTAGCACAAGAGACAGTCAGTTACATAGTATTTGAGGTTGAATAAAGACACTGGTCCATCACGTTCAACCTATTGTGTGTGTGTCTGTGTGTGATTGTGCAGTTGTGCTGCTTTAGTATTTTGCCAACAAGGACCATGCTGCTAGGGAAGAAAGCAGATTGACAGAGCAATGAGCTTATCAGTCTGCTGCTTCTCCTTTCCCTGTTCAGTCACAGGCTGGGAGAGAAACAAGTAACTATAGGTCAGTGGTGGCGTTGAGAGATGAGACCCCAGGGATGCAGCCCACCTCCCTGCAAAACAGGTAAGCAGGAGAGGGGGCAATGTTTTAATTTTTCATTTTTATTAGTAGTTCTGTGTGTGTGTAATGTGTGTGTTTTAATAAGTGCGTGATGTGTGTGTTTCATTACGTGTGTATGTGTTTTATTGAGTGTATAAATGTTTGAATATGCGTGTTTCCCTATTTTGCCTAAGGCAGTGAACGTTTCTTAAACCTGAGTGCCCGAACTGCAATACAATACAAAACTTATTTTCAGCGCTGGCACTTTGAGGTAAATAAATTAATTTTGCGTCGCAGTTTGGGCACTCAGGTTCAAAAAGGTTCGCCATCACTGCTATAGGCGTTACTTAACTGCAGCAGAGAAAAATCAGGTCTCCTGCCAGATGGGGCTCTGTTGCGTGCCAAAGACTAGATCGACAAAAATAAAAATCCTTGAGCAAGTAAAACAGCTCCCAAATATGTATCTTATCTGTGTATTTAGCTGTTTTTGCTTTAACTTTCTTGTGAGAAAACTAATTAAAGAAATACACAAAATGAATGCACCGAAAACATATTCAGATTTAGTTTTTTTTTTATTACGAAAAGAAAAAAACAAAATCTATTTTAAAAACCATACTATGTCAGAATGAGATGCGAGTCAGAAGCAGAAAAATCCTACCCTGCCATTAACACCCGAGCCCCATTCACAAATGACGAGAAAGTGGTTACTTCTATGTGTGCGTATAAATCGTAGAAATTCTGAGATTCATGGGGGGGGAATAAAATTCTTCTTTTACTTCACAGAGCACTCAGTAGAATGATTTGCTGGTACAGAGGTTATCAGTGCACATTAGGTAGCGCCCTACTATACATAAGAGCAAAGATTAAATATTAGCCTAGCTCTTACTGCTGCAAAACCTTTTGGATGAGTTTCTTAGTACATCGAAACGTGATCCATCATTGTACAATTTGAAAACTGACATATAGGTATCACAAATTCGTAAAAGTTAGATCCCTTATACAAAAGAAACAGGACACTAAAGATGCACAGAAAAAGGCTTGCAAACATCACAGGTTGACACTGATGTCCTGTTCCCATTCTGAATGCCACTGAACAGAAAGTTCTAGACATGACCTATGTCAAGACAGCCGTCAAGTTAATTTTAGCGGGATTCTTCTTGAGTTAGTCCATTGATGATTCCAGAACACTGATCTATCCAGCTTTAGAGAAGACTACCCATTCTATGTCCCGCTAAGATGCCTTACTTATAGTGCTCCATAATATTTGTACCACACAATTTTATTTAGCACCAACATAAACCTTGACAGTTATTTTATATTATTTATTATTACTATATTATATTCTGAACACCTCGATAGATACTATCTCTTGATCATCCTCTCTAGATCCCTGTAGATTAAAATTACATGTAAATAGAAAAATACTACACCAATGGACTCATATGACAACATTACTAAGATAGGAGACATCCATGTAAAAAAAGCCTCAAAGACAGCTAGACAGAATGAATGACCCTGAGGTCACTGTAAGGATCAGACTGTATCCTGTTCTATATGTATTTATTACACAGGATACACCTAGAACATGTCAAATGACTACGTACCTGGTTTAAGAGTGAATGGATACTCCCCTCCTTATAATCAGTGGTTATCATGGGGCACAGTGAGGCAGAGTTCAGTTGCTCACCAGCCTCAGTCTCTTTTTTCTTTCTTCTATCATCTTACTGTACCTTAAAGGGACAAAGTGGGCTTGTTCAATAAACCAATGTCAGCAGCAATATGTGCATGAGCAGTGACGCATAACAACCAATCAGAAGTCCTCTCTTCAATAATCTGATGACAGTAAGTGGAAGTCTGATTGGCTGTTATGGATTTCTATACCTTGTACTGCCTTATTATGCAAGTCCACAATGCCTGTATTCAGTAAAGCAATGATTTGCAAAGTGCAGTGACTCACAAAAACCAATCATAACAGAATTGGTGCCAATAAGTTACTGAACTTTGACCTTTATATGTGCAGTTGTGCAGTGCTTTATTGAATAGACAAGTAAGACAAGAAATTATTTTGATCTATCTTGAGTCTTTTTTTTTTTTTTAAACGTTGAGTTGGATCAAACATTATAGTTGACACAGGGCACAGCCCATAAAGTTGTGTATCAATTTGACATGTAAAAGCCTTTTCCAGCTATTGGTGCTTCTACTATACACTACGTTTTGTACTGAATATGCTTATATTATTGGCCCCACTGGCAAGAAAGAGATATGGCCAGTTCTGTTTCTTATGTCTGATTCATATCAAGGGAACAAAAGACATAAGCATTTTAGGCATAAGTACCGGTTATGCTGTAGTTTTCCAGTCTACTTATAGCTTTTAAACATTTCTTTTTAAGATCGCCATCTTAAGAATGAACTGAGGTAGTCCATGACAGAATCAGACTATAAAGAATTGATAAGAATCTTACATTCTACTCTACCCCCATTACTAAATATGTCTAGATGACTTCAGGAAATGGAGTTAGACATGACTTAGGCATAGGTGTAGAGAACAGAAACAGAACTGGCTATGAGAAGTTTTGAGCGTTGTCTATTTCTTAGTTTTTATAGTCCACAGGCTCATCTCCACTCTCTTTCAGAATGGTGGTCCGAACCATGGCTTCTGTCACAGCATAGGGGTCACAGTTGGCTGATGGACGGCGGTCCTCCAAATATCCCTTCTGGTCTTGTCCGACCATACGTGGAATACGGATACTTGCAGAGCGGTTTGCCACTCCTGCAGAGAATTCGTGGATGCTGGAAGTTTCATGTTGGCCGGTTAAGCGACGTTCATTGTCCCGTCCTCCTTTAGGGTCGTAGATCCGAATGTGGTAATCATGACGCTTACTAAGGTATTCAATGGCCTCTTCTATATACCTGTAAGAAAGATCAAATTAATTGAGACCTGTCCTTTGTAGCTAACATATTACACGTCTTGTGTCTATAAGTGTTTCATTTTTACTGCTGCCCACTAAACACTGACTGGTGTCAGTGGAATTGTCAATTAGCTTTGAGGCTCTCAAGATCTGTGGCTTAGGAAGGTGTCTGTTTCCTACTGCAACCAGTCAACATTTTTCAGTGTTTCATGATGATGTAAAAATTACTGGCTATCATGTATAACACAGAAAACACGAGGACCTGTGCCGACGGGCTTTTGTTCATGTCAGACGGGTTTGCGTTTACATACAAGTCTATGAGAAGGTCACATGCAGGTTTAGAAGGAGATCAGATGTTGGTCAGATGGACCTGTCAATGAATCCTTAAAGGAGAACTATGGGGTAAGTGTTTTTCCGCCTAGTTCTCCTAAGGGTCATGGGAGGACATAAACTAGCGTCCTCCCGTGACCCAAAGCTACAGCTCGCGGTATACTGAGACCACCGCAGCCTGGGTGGATCCCGACATTACTGTCGAGGTCCACCCAGCTGCGTTATTGACAGCTGGCTCTGCCTATCTAGAGGCAGAGCCAGCTGTACCCGCCCCCTCCCCCATCCGTTCCGCCAGTCAGCGGTGGAAGATCGGAGCGGGGAGGGGGGGAAACCCTGCAGGGAGCCGTGACTGACAGTCACGGCTCTCTGCAGGGAACATGATTGAGAAATGAGCGAGCAACGGTATGCGTTCGCTCACTTCCCGATCTATTGAGCCTACCTGTGACAGTTTCATTGTCACACGTCGGCTCGAACTATGAGATTGAGTGACAATCACTCACCTCATAGTTCTCCTTTAATGATCTCAGAAGTGTCCCAAACTGATGTGAAACAAATCCCATTGATACAAGTCCAAAGCCACCAAGACAAGTCATAACACAGGCCCATAGTTCATGCAAGATATGTTGCTCTTTACATCAAAGTGTTTTACGTGAAATAAGACTGCATGGTAGTTATGACATTTGTGTCTGTCCTTCTTTCTTTACCTTGTTTTTTATAACAAATTGTATTCAGTACGGCCACTTTCTACATCAGGGCAAAAGGAACCCCTTACAGCTACCATGAAACCAAATTCTTATCATGCCTGAAAGTCCCTTCTTAGGCCTCATTCACACACAACGCACGCAAAATTGTATATTGCGTATATACGCGTCTATGCGCGCGTATATTCGAGCGTATATGCGTGCACTATATGCAATCCCAGAATGCATCACCCGTAATGGAATTTTGAATGTGCTGTACGCATGTACGCGCATAAACACGCGTATATGCGCGTAAACACGCAGACATACGCATCTCTGTTCGGCCTCATTCACACTGCCGCACGTGTACGTGCGTATTGTACCATATGCAACCTATGCAAATAAATGGCTCCATACACACAGCCGCGTATAGAGCCGTATATTTGCGTAGCCTATATATGCGCAAAAACAGAATGGAACAGAGATGCGTCCGGGCAGCGTATTTCTGCATATTTACGCGCATATACGTGCATATAACCTTGTGTGCGCGCATATACGCGCGTACATGCGTAGAGCACATTCAAAATTCCATTACGAGTGATGCATTCTGGGGTTGCATATACTGCACGCATATAGACGCGTATTTACGCAATATACAATTTTGCTTGCGTTGCGTGTGAATGAGGCCTTCCATTCTGTTTTTGCGCATATAATCGCTACGCAAATATACGGCTCTATACACGGCTGTGTGTATGGAGCCATTTATTTGCATAGTTTGCATATGGTACAATACGCACGTGCGCGCGTATACGTGCGGCAGTGTGAATGAGGCCTTAGCCTCCTGCTGCTGCGCACCTTGTTAATGAAAGATCTGCATCTTTGCTACATAGAAGCATGAATAGCGTTACAACATTTCAAATGTTACACTAAACAAACAGGCCAATTCACTAAAATGGTGCAAGGCACAAATAGTTAAAGGAGAACTATGAGGCGAGTGCTTTTCACTCACCTCATAGTTCTAGCCGACCTGTGACAATGAGACTGTGACAGGTCGGCTCAGTAGATCGGGAGGTGAGCGAACACATACCGGCGTTCGCTCACCTCTTGATCCTGTCACGGCTCTCTGCCGTGACAGGGAAGGTGCTGGATTCCCCCCTCCCCGCTCCGATCTGCCAGCGCTGACTGGCGGAACGGACGGGGGAGGGGGCGGGTACAGCTGGCTCTGCCTCTAGATAGGCAGAGCCAGCTGTCAGTCACGCAGCTGGCCGGATCCCAGCATAATTGTCAGGATCCACTTCAGCTGCGGCGTCTCAGTATACCGCGAGCGGCAGCTCGCGGTATACTGAGCCTAGGAGAACTATGGGGTTAAGGCTTTTCCCCATAGTTCTCCTTAGGGTAACGGGAGGACACAAACTAGCGTCCTCCCGTCACCCTAGGCTCACGGTATACTGAGACGCCGCAGCTGTCTGGATCCGCCCAGCTGCGTGACTGACAGCTGGCTCTGCCTATCTAGAGGCAGAGCCAGCTGTACCCGCCCCCTACCCGTCCGTTCCGCCAGCCAGTGCTGGCGGATCGGGGAATCCAGCCCCTCCCCGATCGAGAGGTGAGCGACCGCCGGTATGTGTTCGCTCACCTCCCGATCTACTGAGCCCACTGGGGCAGTCTCATTGTCACAGGTCGGCTAGAACTATGAGGTGAGTGAAAAGCACTCACCTCATAGTTCTCCTTTAAGTGCAGTAACCTGAATGTATTTTGCATTGCTCTCATATATGCAAATATCTGACAGTTTGCTATGAAGTATTATGCTTTGTTTATTGGATTTTGCTGCTTGTACTGTTTTTTAAAATAAGTTATATAATTAACAAGTGCTTCCTAATGCAATCCAAATGTTATTTTTCTAGCTAACAGCTGCTTGGCTACAATAGGGAGTAATACTAATAAAATACTTTTGCAATTTCTTTAAATAAACCCCCAATGTTTCATGTCTTGTTCTGTACAAAGCTACTGATTAATTCATCCCGAAATACACATCTGCACTTGTTATTTTACCGTGTCGCTTATAATTCCCTAACCACCCGCTTACAATGGTTTTACTTACTTGAGGCCTCCATCCTCTCTCATTTTCTTTGTGCTGTAGTTGGTATGGCAACCAGCTCCATTCCAGTTTCCTGTGATAGGTTTAGGGTCAAATGAAACCACGATTCCAAAGTCCTCACAGACTCGATGCAGAATAAACCGGGCAATCCACAAATGGTCTCCCATGTCGATTCCTTCACATGGCCCAATCTGGAACTCCCACTGTATATAGATAACAATTTTAAATATGACTTTAATAGGAATGTAATGTTATGCCTCTAAATAGAACTTTCACCTTTATCAAAAATGTTCAAGCAAGGACTTGCAGCTATAATGCAGTACACATACTTATCAGTGCAACATAATACTACATTTACACTGTTAAAAGTGAATAACCTATTTCCAGATGCCCAGACTTGCCCTCTTCAGTTCACAATTCTGTATGTCAAATACAATGTGATGGCTGATCAGACTTCTCACTAATTGACATGAGTCAGCAATCAGGAGAATCTGTTTTTAACCTGTCGGAGACTAGTCTATGACATTCCCTTTTTCATTATCTTGTCAGGTAAAATAATTGCAGATTGTTTAGGCAACACAAATGTGTTTTATTCGTTTAAAGTCCCTGTGAATACAGAGAAATACCTGTTGATCTGCCAGAAATGCTCTCTGGTCCTAAGTTCTATTTTGACTTAAAAAGAACAGATTTTTTGTGGACTGAGTGGTGCCCAATTTTCTCTTGGCAAACTACATTACCATCTCTGCAACATAAAGGCTAATCATTCTGTAGTCCGAAGATAAGAAGTGGGGGGGCTAATTACGAATTACTTACTGTTTGAGATAACACAGGAAGTGAGCACAGCACACAATTATATAGCTCTGAATGTCTGACATGATCAAAATGCAGTTGGTGGGGGTGCTCTCCGCACACCTTTCAGCAGTCCCGGCCAATAAATAAAGATGGTGCTTGTAGTAACTACCACGGATGGCACCGTGCAAAACACAAAGTAGAAGATAGGTCACCAGCACTCAAAAATAATTCAAAATGAATAAGTCCTTTTTATTGGACAATTGCGTCACGACAATCAAAAAGAGCCGACGTTTCGTGGCCACACAGGGTCCCTTCCTCAAGGCAAAAGATGTGCTGCACATCTTTTGCCTTCAGGAAGGGACCCTGCGTGGCCCCGAAACGTCGGCTCTTTTTGATTGTCGTGACGCAATTGTCCAATAAAAAAGGACTTATTCATTTTGAATTATTTTTGAGTGCTAGTGACCTATCTTCTTCTGACATGATCAAAAGGTATTTTTTGCACTTATCAAACAGATGTAATAAAATGCTGCCAATGTTATATGTAACAGACAAAAAAGAGCAAAAAGACGTTTTCATTGGGATGTTTTCAGCACCTGCCCAGGCATATCATGTATTAAATATTCCACTTTCTACGAGGGATCTAACTCTTGATAAGCAAGTACTCATGCATGACAGTATTTATCTTCTACTTGTCAAAAGTCTAGAGGTTTGATATAAGTAGCTGAGATGGGGGAATATCAGGCATGTTTCTGTGCAGAGTAATGGTATCCAGGCTAGTTTGTTGAAGGGTTCAGTGTATGGAGGGCCGGATTTCCCCACAAGGCCAACCGAGGCCCGGCCTTGGGGCAGCAGGGAGTAGAGGGGCAACAGGGGTGTGGCATTCCTATCTCCCGATATGGATATGTAGATATTTCAGATTATCAGAGCAGAGGAGATTGGGAAATAATGCTTTCCAACATAAAACTAACACCCTGTCTGGTATACCATGAAAGAGATACAACAACAGTCTATCTGCCGCACACGGCAATGGGCTGCTCAGTAAAGTTGCAATGAATGTCAAATTTTAATACAACTATGGGAACATATAAATACATAGGTTTGATAGAATTAAAAGCCCTATCGTGAAATACATACAACATACTGCATGTTTGAAGTCTTGTGGGCTTTAAAAAATCCCTTTTTTTCTTGCCAGTCATCGTTCATAAAATAATGGAGCCAAAACATTTTGGCCTCATGTATCTTAACGTTCTTCCTAAGAACTGGATTCTCTTCTCTTCAACCACCAATCAGGTGGCCGAAGGGAAATCTTTCTTATTATGAGCATGTTAATACATCAAGCTCTTTGTTAGCAGATATATCCCATCCCTTTACATAGAACCTCCAAAACAAGACAGTGCAACGGTGAAATGTCCAAACACGCTTCTGGTCCCACCTGTGCTGGCATCACTTCTGCATTTGTTCCTCCAATCTTCACCCCAGCATATAGGCATGCCCGATAATGAGCCTCCACAATATCCCGTCCATAGGCTTTGTCTGCTCCAACTCCACAGTAATATGGACCTGTTTAATAAGTAGAATGAGGCTAGAGTAGATTAGGCTCAGGAAGCACACAGGAATAATTATTAAAGTAAAAAACAATGTGCAAAGAAAAGGAACTTATAAAATGTGTACAGCTCGTTGGGCTGAATCATCGTGATAGAATAGTGGAAAATTGCTTCCAGACAGCTGCATTAATTATACATTACATAACTAGTTACTTACAAGACTTAGAACATAGGATTTCATGGAAATATACTGACATGTTCTATATTTATATGGCAGGATGTGCAAAACATATCTGACAGTATAATGATGTAATTATATCTGAACAAGACAACTAGGCTAAAATGTAGTTTCCCATTCTCCGTACATTGTTATAAATATATTGGCAGGCCAAAACTACTATCTACATTTTTGATGTTTTAGGCAAATGTTGGCAACAGACTAACTGACATGGTGCACAATGTTGATTCCCCATATTGTCATCTACAGATCAGTGTCCTCCTGCAGGCACTGCAATTAGCTACAAGGACAGCTGCAGCCATTTATGTGTTATAATCGCATTATATCATTATCATGTCAAATACACCATCTGTAAATAATATCCCATTGTGGCTTTTACTATAATGTCATACTAGAGTTGCCAATGTCACATTTGGTCTCCAAATGGTCTGCATGCTCTGGGTTCATTGGATTCTGGAGGTGCCATATTTAAAGCTGAACTCTGGGTCATCTAAATATATTCCTCAATAGCCACAAGGATAGTAATCCACGTTGCATGCACCAAATGTCTTTGCCTTGTAAAAGTAGCTGTGACCTTATCCCTGTGCAGCACATAGCCTGTGCAGTGAGTAGAGCTGTGGAAGGGGCCCAACAGAAAACGTAGAAAATAAGACTAAGTTTGATAAGACAGCCCACTACAAGGAACTAACAGCTGATTGGTCCTGAAATGTGACTTCGTGAGTGCGATCTCACATTCCACAAAGTTGTAGAGAAGTGACATTTCAGGACCGATCAGATGTTCCAGGGTAGATCGGTTCTCCTGCACATACCATCTGTGATGCCGATCTGCCCTGGAACAGCTGAGAAAACTTTGGAATTCTTCTATTGCCTGTCACATATTCCACCGGCGAAAAAGTGGGCGTGAGTATGTTAAAATGTGACCAGTCACACATTCCAACCCAGTCACAAACTTTAATAGAACACAGGCAGCCTATACTGGGTGGGGCCTGCTGGATCCCTCCCACAGCTCTAGTCCCTGCCCACATAGTGATGATATCACTAGTACATTTACAAAGCAATAATTGGGTCTGCAAAGGCGTTTGGCACACAAAATGGATTTCTATATCCTTTGTGGCTATTTAGGAATATAATTAAATGAAAGTTGTTGTGCCCGGAGTTCGGCTTTAAAGCAGGAAAAGGACAGAAAACAAACTAAGACACAGAGGGGAATTTATCAAAATCTGGAGCAGCTGTGCATGGCAACCAATCAGCTTCTCTCTTTCATTTTCAAATCTTAACTGAACAATCTGAAGAGAGAAGCTGATTGGTTGTCATGGGCAACTGCTCCAGATTTTGTCTGCTCCAGGTTTGATAAATTCCCCCCAGAGTCATTATTTATTTAGACATGTAAACAGCCCTGCCATGAGGAATCACAGAAATAAGTTTATTTAGACAGTTTAAGGTCTTTTTTAAACATTTCAAAAGAAAATATTTACCTTGAGGTCCGGGGAAGCCATTAGAAGGCCAGCCAAAGGGATGTCCATCCACTCCAAGCAATGTGTATTCCTGTTCCATGCCAAACCACGGATACTCATCGGTCACCATATCCATAATCCTCTTACATGTGTTTCGCAGGTTTGTTTCTGCAGAGGGAAATGTCAGAGGTTACTAAGGGGATCATGATGAAATAACCGTACTGTGTTCAGTGGTGGAGTCACCACACAATACACCCCTGCACAATGACTCTACTATTCCTCAAAGGTTCATGGGATGGATTTTGTTGACATATTACAAGTGAAAGCATTACAGAGAACACTCTATTGAATAATTCTGAAAGCAATATGGTTAATATGTTATTCCTTGTGATTGACTCGTATCTGCTCCGAGGTCTTTAAAATAAGATAAGCATCATCGGGAAATGCCTGCAATGCAAACTTTCTGCGAAAAGCAGCATTTTCCCTCTGGCAGAAATCTGAGCTGAAAATAGGAAGAAACGCAGCCTTGTGGCCAGACGTGGCAAAGGAGAACAAAATGTCAAATATAGTACATAGAATTACCAAAAATTAAGCGCTCTTCCGTCCAGCAGGACAAACTAAATGGCAAGAGCAGAGTTTATTTGAAATGTTGAATGAAACACTAACTGACATAAATGATCCCACAATAGGCCTGGACCGAACACGTAACACAGCGAAGGTGAATTTATCCAAACTGGAGCAGACAGAATCAGGAGCAGCTGTGCATGGCAACCAATCAGCTTCTCTCTTTCATTTTCAAATCTTAACTAAAACAAACTGAAGAGAGAAGCTGATTAGTTGCTGTGCACAGCTGCTCCTGATTCTGTATGCACAACCATTTACCCCAGCATTAGAGTATGCATAACCATTTACTCAGTACTAGAGTATGCATAGTCATTTACTCCACCATTAGAGTATGCATAACCATTTACTTCAGAGCTAGAGTATGCATAACCATTTACTTCAGAGCTAGAGTATGCATAACCATTTACTCCAGCACTAGAGTATGCATAACAATTTACTTCAACACTAGAGTATGGATAACCATTTACTTCAGAGCTAGAGTATGCATAACCATTTACTCCAGCACTAGAGTATGCATAACAATTTACTTCAACACTAGAGTATGGATAACCATTTACTTCAGAGCTAGAGTATGCATAACCATTTACTCCAGCACTAGAGTATGCATAACAATTTACTTCAACACTAGAGTATGGATAACCATTTACTTCAGAGCTAGAGTATGCATAACCATTTACTCCAGCACTAGAGTATGCATAACAATTTACTTCAACACTAGAGTATGGATAACCATTTACTTCAGAGCTAGAGTATGCATAACCATTTACTCCAGCACTAGAGTATGCATAACAATTTACTTCAACACTAGAGTATGGATAACCATTTACTTCAGAGCTAGAGTATGCATAACCATTTACTCCAGCACTAGAGTATGCATAACAATTTACTTCAACACTAGAGTATGGATAACCATTTACTTCAGAGCTAGAGTATGCATAACCATTTACTCCAGCACTAGAGTATGCATAACAATTTACTTCAACACTAGAGTATGGATAACCATTTACTTCAGAGCTAGAGTATGCATAACCATTTACTCCAGCACTAGAGTATGCATAACAATTTACTTCAACACTAGAGTATGGATAACCATTTACTTCAGAGCTAGAGTATGCATAACCATTTACTCCAGCACTAGAGTATGCATAACAATTTACTTCAACACTAGAGTATGGATAACCATTTACTTCAGAGCTAGAGTATGCATAACCATTTACTCCAGCACTAGAGTATGCATAACAATTTACTTCAACACTAGAGTATGGATAACCATTTACTTCAGAGCTAGAGCATGCATAACCTTTAACTCCAGCACTAGAGTATGCATAACAATTTACTTCAACACTAGAGTATGGATAACCATTTACTTCAGAGCTAGAGTATGCATAACCATTTACTCCAGCACTAGAGTATGCATAGGCATTTATTCCAGCACTAGAGTACACCTAACCATTTACTCCAACACTACAGTATGCATAAGCATTTACTCCAGCAGCAGAGTATGTGTAACCATTTAATCCAGCAGTAGAGTATGCATAACCATTTACTCTAGCACTGGAGTATGCATAACCCTTTTGTCAAAGATGCTGGTTGCTATACATTACTGCTCTTTACCCAATGCTTTTTGTCTCACTAAAGACTAGACATATTATTTGGTTGTTATTAATATTACCACAGTCTCTGCCCTAGAAGAGCTTACAATCATATGTCCCTGACAATCACTACAGCCAATGGTCAGAAGCTAGTTGGCCTACCAGCATGCTTTGGGGAAAACCACAGCATTTCAAGTAAACCCAGGTAGACACAGGAAAATCGTACAACCTCCATGCAGACAGTGTGGTGAGAGTGAAGCCCAAGATCCCTGCAATTTGAGGTAAGACTGCTCAGTACTCCCCCCATGTACCAATTTGACTTAAGGCTAAGATATCTAGGTCAGTGCAGACAGTATGGCTTAACAATATGCTCTTACATGTTGGCAGTTCATTCTACATAAAACATGAGACTTGGAAAAAAAGTCTGTCCAGAGCACAAAATGACTAACATTCCTGTTTTATTTAACATTGATGTATACTAGTCAATTCACTGTATTCTTCTTAGTATTTTAATGTCACTGCTAGCCTGGAGGACAATGTCTGGGATTGCAGATTTTTCTCAGTCGCTAGAAGCAGGCGACAACCAGTTCTTTAAGCCTCTTTTCCAGGAATAAAAAAAAACCAAAAAATCAAATGATGTAAAAAAACAAGCAATTGTATCGCCTAACTTGTTGCTATTTCCGCAAGAAACGCAGTTTTTTTCATGTTCATTTCAATCAGGGAATTGTGCCCTTTAAATGATAATTATGTATCCAGAATCACATGATTGAAGCTTTGGTTCTAGTAATTTATGTTCCTGTATATTGTAACACTTGCTGCAGGGATCTGTATTAACACAATCTTTATATTAAAGGAGAACTATGGGGTAAGTGTTTTCTCTCATAGTTCTCCCCAGGGCCACGGGAGGACACAAACTAGCGTCCCCCCGTGACCCAAAGCTCAGTATACCGCGAGCTACAGCTTGCGGTATACTGAGACTGCCGCAGCCGGGACAGATCCCGACATTACTGTCGAGATCCACCCAGCTGCGTTATTGACAGCTGGCTCTGCCTATCTAGAGGCAGAGCCACCCGCCCCCTCCACCGTCTGTTCCACCAGTCAGCACTGGAGGATCGGAGAGGGTGGGAATCCCTGCACGGAGCCGTGAGTGACGATCATGTCCTCTGCAGGGACATGATCGTGAAGTGAGCGAGCGACGGTATGCGTTCGCTCACTTCCCGATCTATTGAGCCCACATGTGGCAGTTTCATTGTCACACGTCGACTCGAACTATGAGGTTGAGTGAAAATCACTCACCTCATAGTTCTCCTTTAAAGTTGCGCTCCAGGCAGATAAAGGGCACACACACTAACGTAGCTCTGTATTCATTAAGAAATCATTAAATGTATTTTCTTTAATGCAAACAGCGCAAGTACCAGAATTTGAACCAATATCAGCCTTACAATCCACTGACTGTACAAGGAGCATGTTGATAGGAGGAGAAGGCAGAATGATAGAAAGATGAGCTCATCAGCCTGCGGCTTCTCCTTTCACTACCTTGTCACAGACTGAAGGAGGGACAAGTCCTGTAAGTGTTACTGAACTACAAAAGTTAAAAATCAGGTCTCCTGCACTGCCAGATAGAACTGGATGGACAAAAGTACAAATCGTTTGGCAGATTAAACAGCTCCAAAATATCTATTGCATCTGTGTATTTAGCTTATAACTGGAAGGTGGACTTTATTCAGGAGTGCTACCTGTGCAGTAGTGACCATCACTGGCAAGCTTCTTCATCTAAAATGAACACTGTACAATATAATGTCTAGGTGGCACCAACCGACCCCCCCCAGCTAAGAGCTAAGGAAGAGGAAAAGCAAATGGACATGCCCAAAAAACCTCATCTGATTGCCTACAGTATACCTACCTGGCCCCTCTATCAACAACGTAACAGTTTGTGTTTAGGAAAGCAATGGAAGATTCATACGTGTGTTGATAGGCTTTGAGCTTGTGTCAATGGCATCAGTTTGAGATGCTTTTGAGATCATTCAGGGCTAGTTCACACCAGCCCCAGTGCATTCCGGCCCAATTCTGGGGGTGCATTGAACTCAATGGCACCGCAGCCACACAGGAACGCGTGGCACATCAGTGCCTGTGATCCGCTTTAGTCAGAAAATATAGTGCATGCAGCATTTTTTGTGACTGCACCGGACTGGAACGCAGGCACTAATGTGCCACGCGTCTCCGTGCGGCTGATCGCATTGCAGCCGGAAGGTGTGGCTTCGGTGCCATTAAGTTCAATGCACCTCCACGCCCCCTCCCGCCCCAAAACACAGTGAGCTGGCCAAAATGCGATCCAGTGTGTTCCAGCCAGAATGGGGCCAGAACGCACTAAGGCTGGTGGGATCTAGCCCTAAGAATTCAATGACAGCTCGGTTTGACCAGCAGTTGGCCTATTTGTGACCTGCTTCAAGTGGGTTTTGCATCCCCATAAACTTGTATAGGATTGATGGGAATGTCAACACAGGCGTTAGTTACTATGGTCAGATGGCAACTGATTGTCCCCTAATTTCTGCCTTTAAGGTGACCATGCATACACAAACTGGGCTGAAGAATTCCACTTTAGCCTGGGATTGGCCCACTTATCTATAATTTCAGTACCTAAATTCACATCTGCTAACCTTGAGAATCAGGAATTGCCTATATACTGTTAACTGGAGGATTATCCAGACTGTTGGTGTGTGTATGAGGCACCTTTAGGATTTTTTTACATAAATCAGATTATTTGACAAGGTGGTGCAAACAAGCAGTGATATGGATCTATAGCAACCAATCAGAACATGTCACAGTTGATAGTGCAGAGACCAAAGAAAGTTGATCCATGCCATCTGGCATTATTGTACAACAGTCTGCTGTGTACCGGCATTACTGTACAACGGTGCTCTGTGTACAACGGTACTCTGCTATTTAAAAAAAATAACATCCTTTTTCTGAGCTGTAATACTCTTCCACCTCTATGAGTTGTTAGCCCATCTGTTGAGCACTGAAGACAACACACAATGCTTGGGTTAGTGGCACAGAACACAATCTGGACCGCCAGCTGTCCAAAAACTGATAAAGCGGGAAATTAAGACGTAATCTAGAGTAATGAAGCAAAATATTCAAAATACAGCTTAGAAAATAAATGCCGAATGGCAGAAAATCGTGATGTTTAAAAAGTGGCTACAAAACCAAAGAGGGTTCACGTATTGGTGGTCCACCTTCTCATTTACAGCTACATACATAATCTGTAACCCGCTGCATCATGGCAGAAATCCAAGACACTAAAGATCTTGTATACGAGCCAAGCATCTGAGTCATTATTGAATGACTGAAGTGTCTGAAACAATCTGTGCGAAAAGTTTATTCTCAGGAAGAAATCTTGAGCTTACCTGCTGTTTTCCTGTTGTATTTCAGCACCTCACAGAATACCAGTTTGTTGGGGTCTTTCCGGAAAGGATCTCTGAACATAGCCACTGGGATCAGAAACATGTCGCTATTTGATCCCTCCGACTGATGAGTGCTTGAGCCATCAAAGTTCCATTCTGGCAAATCTGTAAATAATAAGAGCCATATTGTTACTGAGCAATCAACTGATTGAAATAATTACCCACTTAGTCTGCACGGCATTACAGCTGCTAGATGGAGCAATTTCCTATGCTCCTCCGTGCCATCTAGTGGCTGTGATGCCTTGCGAAGGGCTTTTGCCCAGCTGCAATGTGCTAGTGCTTTCATTGACAGGCCCAATCTCTCCCTGACAATTTTGGCATAACCTGTCCATTCGCAACTCTCTCACTCACTGCCCCAATCTTCCTCCAAATGTAGATGACGAACAAATATGGCGTATGAGCAGCCAAAGTTAGTTCCCTTTTCTGCAACTGGTCAATCAGAGACATTTCAGCATGTATTTTTTTACTGATGTTCTTTAACCGTTTCTGTCATTCCTGTACAACAAAGGCAGTCACTTTATATGCCTGGATGCCGGATTCCTGAATTTGCACCATGCTTTAGCGTTTATCACTCTTGCCTTGCAGCACTGTGACACTAGATTCTGTTCACAGAAGGGGTACTCCCTGTATGTAGATTGGGATTTTTATAGGGCTGTTACTAATTAAAATTTTCTTGTTCGATTAATCGAAATTTTTTTAAAATCGATTAATTTCGATTAATTATAACGCACATACAGATCCAACTACATTGGCCTATACACATACAGCACAGCAATGAAGTAATAAAATGAACTAGGATCACACTAATCCAGCACGTTATTAATCTCACGTGCCCCACTCAATATGGCCGCCCCTTTAGTGGGGCAACTCAGAATAATAATGTGCTGGATTAGTGTGATTCTAGTTCATTTTGTTACTTCACTGCTGTGCTGTATGTGTATAGGCCAATGCCTTGGAGTTTGGTCCACACTTGTGGGTACACTGACCAGCTGGGAAGATTGTAGAAGAAAGGTTCGATATCAATTGGCAGGCTGCACAGTGATGTTCCCTTTACATGTAAGTATAACCTATTTAAAAATTGATAGGGCAGAACAAGTTTCTTGGGCAAACTCACCAGCTAACGAAGGGAAGGGGGGAAGAGTCCAGTGACGTCACGGACATTGACGTCACCGGACTCCTCCCCCCTTCCCTTCGTTAGTCGACGAAGCCACTTGGGGACATTGACGTCACCGGACTCCTCCCCCCTTCCCTTCGTTAGTCGACGAAGCCACTTGGGGACATTGACGTCACCGGACTCCTCCCCCCTTCCCTTTGTTAGCCGACGGAGCCACTTGGGGAAGGGGGGAGGAGTCCGGTGACGTCGATGTCTGTGGCGTTACTTGATCTCCGACGGGACTCCCGGAAGCCGGCGGAGAGGTAAGTATTTTAATTAGCGATCAAAAACATTTTAATTGATCAAAAAGATTAACGATTAATCTAGAAATTAATCATTAATTTCCGCAGCTCTAGATTTTTACCAATATTTGAGTTTCGCCTTCATGCCCATTTCTTGGTAGCTTAATCACCCTCCACCACATTGGGTCCTGACAATGCAATGTATATGTCGATAGTATGGGCATTACACTGTAAGCTCTTATGGGATGCAATTGGATCAACATACTCTTTAATATTCAACCAACTCTGCTGCTGTGTAAAAGTCTATCAGTATACAGGGAACTAGTGACAGGTATGCCATAACGATGTCACTAGTATTTTGTGTAATCCATACATTTAATTCTCAGGAAAATTGTCCAAGCCCACAAAGTTGATGCCATTCTTTTAAGCATGCAATGACAGGTAAACCTTGACAATCCATGTTGCAGTGTTGGCTTTGGACTGTAGGGGGTGCTGTGCATTGTGGGGCAGAAGTGTTTGGTTTATGAGCTGCATAGACAGAATGCATGCTCACCTTCAAAAGACTTGGGTTCGCAGTCCAGTGTCCGCGTCTTGCATCGTAGACCTTCTCCTGTACCATCTATCCATATATACATGGCCTGGACTTTATCTCCTTGTGGCAGCTCCATGTACATCTTCTTCACATCCTTGCTGAGCTGCGAGCTGGCCGACAGTGCCATGGCTGCAGGCTAATCAGACCCTGCACAGAAAACAGAAGAACACAAATGGTTAACCCTGCTGGACCCTAAAGTATTAGTATTCCGAGAGCAGCACTGAATCCATAAGAACAATGCAAGGCTTTCCAGAGCGGTCCACAGTGGGAAGGAACACAACAAGCAATGTGGAATTAATGAAATCTCCACAATCTGATAGCGGTCACTGATAGTGTGGCAGCTCTTTATTACAGAGAAATCCAGCAACAGCACTGGAATGCATGAGGAATGGCAAGACAGATTGAATGACAGGAGCTGTTATCAGGAGCAAAGATGGAGCCGCATAGCAAGCAGTAAATGAAAACATTCCATTTTTGCTACAATTTTTGTTAAGAATAATGGAGCAAAGAAAAGTGGGGATTTTGCCCATGGCAGCCAGTCGGGTGTATAGAAGGGAATTTAACAAAACTGGAGTGGACAGAATCTGGAGCAGTTTCCCATGACAACCAATCAATGTTACCTTTCATTTTAAAGCTAAACTAAACAAACTGAAATCAGAAGCTGATTGGGTAATATGGGCAACTGCTCCAGTTTTGATCAATTCCCTCCTTCTTTTACTGAATGAGATGTAAATCCTGAATGGCTGCTACCAACAACAGTATTCTATATCCTTGGCCTTAATATTAATCAGTCACCCTTGTATGAAACTCTGTGACAGAACTGTTGTGTTGCAACCAGATAAATTCTTATCATACTTGTAAACTGCACTGAAGTCATGGTGAAGAGACTCTGATGGTTGCATGATGAGCTTCAGGATACAAGCAACAAAATGCTCGGGTCTCATGTGCCAGATATGGGGGCAATTCATAAATATTGGAGCAGACAGATTCTGGAGAAGTTGCCCATGACAACCAACAGAATTCTATCTATAATTTTCAAAACTTAACCGCAAGATTCTGTCTGCTTCAGTTTTTATGAATTCCACCCAATGTGTCTTGTGTCACAATATCTGGCAGATGAATATGACAGCCTTCCTATCCATCTATTCACCTATCTATCTATCTATCTATCTATCTATCTATCTATCTATCTATCTACAGTATCTATCTATCTATCTACAGTATCTATCTATCTATTCACATATCTATCTATTTATCTATCTATTATTATACAGGATTTATATAGCGCCAACAGTTTGTGCAGCGCTTTACAATATAAGGAAGACATTACAATCACAATACAATTCAAGGCAAGATGGTAAGGAGGGCCCTGCCCCTGAGGGCTTACAATATATACATCTATTCACCTATCTATAAATCTATTCACCTATCTATCTATCTATCTATCTATCTATCTATCTATCTATCTATCCATTTCCCGGCCCCCGAACGGCTGTGAAGAAGTGTGCGGGCACATGCACAGTAGGGAGAAAACAGACACTGAAGCTCAATGGACGCAATGGGACCTTAAAGAGAACACAGGTGGTGTGAATGGGCCCTTAAAGAGAAGGCAGGACTGTGTGAATGGGCCCTTAAAGAGAAGGCAGGTGGTGTGAATGGGCCCTTAAAGAGAACCTGCCCCTTGAACACAGAGGAAGATTCCATTTTGTAGACTTTGCTTCATACTTAGGGAATGGAAACGTATTGCTAGGGGTTACTGAAGCCGTTCTTCACAGCACATGTTTTGGTTACCAATGTCAACAAAACAAGAGGAATGTCCAGGGGAAGACGATTCTATCACTTGATAATAAACGATCCTGAGGAGAACAAATTGAACTGAATAAACAGACAGAGCACCAGGAAAATCTCAGTCTCCTGAGATTAGTGTGTATGGTTTTGCATTGCAAATCAAAGTTAGAAAAACATTGCTCAAAATGGCTGCCCCACCTCAGGCACATTGGAATGAATGAGGTGCGGGCAGCTGTACCCTTCCATGGGGAGACAGACTCCATAGAAACACAAGCATACATGGAGGCTGGATACATCAGGAAAACAACACGCCGAGCAACAAAAAGAGCAGCGATGAGACGCAGATTACATAACATCGAATACTGGGACAGGACATTCCACACACATGGCACAATGGAGGGTGAAGGACGCAATCAGTAAACAGCTCATTAATTGTGTACTATAAGCCAGAAGAATTCAGCTATCGGCGTCTGCTTTCTGATTGGTCTCTCTGGGTTTTTGTACACTGCCATTCTTACTGTTCTAACACATCTGTATCAGCAAAATGAAATAGAAACACAAGTGCTTCCAGAATACTGAGCAGAGGCACAGACTACAGATCAAAACATGGACGAGAATAAGAAAAGCAGATGGACCGTGTCAGTCACAGCGCGACGCTGGAACAAAACAGGTGCAATCGTGTTCCTGTCATTTATTATCTATGACGTGTATTCCTATAACGCGTCAAATTACGCCGCACGTTACATACTATTGAATCACATCAGTCCCTGTCCTCCAGGAGCTCACTATGCAAAATCCCTAACTTCAGCTGGTTTTCATGTATCATTTTCAGACTTCAGCGTTCTTGGTTTAGCCAATTGAAAGCCAGTTACTAGGCGTTCGTAAGCATGTTATCAGGTGCTCCTAAGGGGAAAAAGATGAGCCATTCCGCCCAGAAAGAAGCTCATCTTCTTCTCCAAGCCAGACGCAACAACACGCTGCTTCCGTAGTGTGAACGGCCATAATGTAAAATAATGGGAGTTCTCATGATGAGTTTCAGGACAAGCAACAAAACGCTCCGGTCTCATCTGCCAGATATGTTATAACCAGATGTTTTTCCTATTTAATGCCATTCCATAATTTATTACCATCACAACCTATCATTAATGAACACATTTTCCCAATATTTAATAGCATTTCCCATCCCATCATTTATTACATTGTGCTGCTATTTGTTATCACCTCATCCCATCATTGAATAACACTTGTTTACTAGTTAACATCACCCCAACTTATCATTTAATAACAAATGTTGCAGAATGTTTAATAGCATTTCCCATCCTATAATTTAATAACAAACTTTCTTAATATCTAATAACACTCCGTGATTGGATCATTTTTGTCACTATTTATTATACTGTCCTATTCCACTGTTTATTAAGCTTTGTCGCTACTTCATATCATCCCATTCCATTATTTACTAACAGACGTTTCCATCCATCTACATCTTAAATTGACTGGTCATCAAACGTCTCAGGACATACTCTGGAATCAGACATCAGAGGTCTCAGGACATACTCTGGAATCAGACATCAGAGGTCTCAGGACATACTCTGGAATCAGACATCAGAGGTCTCAGGACATACTCTGGAATCAGACATCAGGGGTCTCAGGAGATACTCTGCAATCAGACATCAGAGGTCTCAGGACATACTCTGCAATCAGACATCAGAGGTCTCAGGACATACACTGGAATCAGACATCAGGGGTCTCAGGACATACTCTGGAATCAGACATCAGAGGTCTCAGGACATACACTGGAATCAGACATCAGAGGTCTCAGGACATACACTGGAATCAGACATCAGTGGTCTCAGGACATACTCTAGAATCAGACATGTACATACTCTGGAATCAGGCATGTACACTCAGATGTCACCATATTTCATGTACAAGCTTTCACTGGTCCAGCTCAGATGCCCTGATCTGTTACAAAGTGTCCCTGGAAATTCTTCTACAATGCAGGTTACTCTGACATCTATAACATCTCTGAATGTGTCACTGACAAGCTCTATGTGCAGCAATCCCTGCTGTGAAGGTCCTCTTGGCATGCTGAGACTCATAGTTCTACAAAACCTTTATAGTCACTGACGCCCATTGCACATTTGGTTACAATGAAATAAACATACACAGATCTAAATAGATAATCCGCACAAACAGGAGCCATAGCACAAAGAACATTAGAGGGGGGTACACCTCCCCTATAGCACCTTCTATAGATAAGGAGCCCAGGCAAAGATCCAGGAATGACTTACCTGTATGAGATGAGGATGGTGATGACAATGCTGGTACTCCAGTACACAGGGGGAGTTCCCGGTTTCCTTGTTAAGTGTTATATTGAAGCTCCCATTCTCTGCTTTCGCGGCCAGCGAGTTATCCCTGGACATATATTGAGGAGCGCGGTGCCCGCCCATAGGCTGCTGATTGGCTGCCGGCAAACGCGATCGCTACATGCCATGCTAGCCCCGCCCCCGTGGCACCAAGCCATTGGCCACGCACCAGCAAGGTGCTGCCCAGTCCGGGGAAAGCCCCGCTCACCTCCCCAAACTGGACTGAGAAAAACAAGTGGAGGAGGGGCGGAGGAGCGGGCACCACCGGAGGGGGGCAGAGGAGCGGGCACCGGA